CACGTTTTCATATAGCCCCCATATAACGGTACCTCCCTATATTCGGTATTTTGATGATTTTAGGGACATTATTCACCGGAATTGTTTCAAAATTAGTATTTGAAGTTCGTAATGAATACTACAGTCTAAAATAGAAAATTGTCTGTGTAAGTCCATGTCTTCGTATAGCCCCCATATAACGGTACCTCCCGATATTCGGTATTTTGATGATTTTAACGACATTATTCACGGGAATTGTTTGTCAAATTTGGTATTTGAAGTTCGTTATAGGAACTACAGTCAGTGACAGAAAATTGTCTGTGCGGGTCCAGGTCTTCGTATAGGCCCCGTATATCAGTACCTCCCTATATTCGGTATTTTGATGATTTTAGCTACATTATTCACCGGAATTATTTCAAAATTGGTATTTGAAGTTCGTAATGAATACTACAGTCTAAGATAGAAAATTGTCTGAGCAAGTCCATGTCTTCGTATAGCCCCCATATATCAGTACCTCCCTATATTCGGTATTTCGATGATTTTAGCTACATTATTCACCGGAATTGTTTCAAAATTGGTATTTGAAGTTCGTAATGAATACTACAGTCTAAGATAGAAAATTGTCTGTGCAAGTCCATGTCTTCGTATAGCCCCCATATAACGGTACCTCCCGATATTCGGTATTTTGATGATTTTAGCGACATTATTCACCGGAATTGTTTCAAATTGGTATTTGAAGTTCGTAATGAATACTACAGTCTGTGACAGAAAATTGTCTGTGCGGGTCCAGGTCTTCGTATAGGCCCCATATATCAGTACCTCCCCATATTCGGTATTTTGACGATTTTAGGTACAATACCCACCGAAATTGTTTGAAATGTGGTATTTGAAGTTCGTAATGGATGCTACAGCCTGTGACAGAAAATTGTCTATGCTGGTTCAGGACTTTGCACAGCTCCAATTTAATGGCACCTCCTTATGTACGATATTTTGATGATTTTAGCTACATATTCACCGTTTATTTCAAGTTTCCAATTTGAATATGGTAATGGCTTATGACAAACAATGCCTATGTATGTCCACGTCGTATAGACCCCAATATAACGGCTATATTTGGTATTTTTAAAATTTTACCAGAATTTTTTAAGGATTTTATTTTTTAAAAATTTCCAAATTCGTTGCAAATGGTGGAGGGTATTAAAAGTTCGGCCCGGCCGAACTTGGTGCTTTTTAACTTGTTCCTTTTCAAATATTATTTATTTAGATTTCCTTTCAAATCTATAAATTATTTCTAAATTTTCTTGACATGACCGTTACAAATTTGTTTTTCTATATATAGATGGCGAATTGGGGGAATTCAAAATATATTTTGACAGAAAACTTGGTTGTCAAGATGGCCTTCCTGGCCGATCTTATATAGGCCTTGATCAGAATAGTGCAAAAATTTCTAAGTGGCATGCCAAATTGTTTCTTCCATTTTTTTTAAATGAATTTCCTTTTTTGAGCCGCAATACTTTATATTAGACATTTGTTATGTGGTATTGCTTTATTGATGCATGTGGAATATATGTTTTGTTATTATTTCGTTAAAAATCTTTATAAGATGAATTCAAACCAAGTTTCTAAAAACATATCCTATAAAGGTGGCATTAGTCCAAACCATAATGTGTCTTAATATCCATCTCCTTTATCAATGTATACAAAGAGAACGAGAACTTGGCAATCTGTAAATGAGAGAGAAATGACAAATGATAACAACAAAAAATAACTACATTTTGACAACTCACACTCAAAAAACTACTCAAGGTAATGGGAAATAGTTTTCCTGCTGTAAATTCGATGGACTTCTGGGAACGTTGCATAAAAAATATTAGCATTTGACGATAGCGCTTGCTTTGATGGATCCAATTTGAGTGAAATATTGCCTCCGTCAAATGATCGTTTTCATTCATTAGACACTGGGCATAATAGCAGAGGGGAAATATTTCCACAACCACTGCGAGCACATAGAAACACGAGGCCACAATTGAGGCTGTGTTGGTGGCAAATATTAAAATGTTTATTAAGGTCACTCCCAGGAGGCTTGCAGTTATGGTAAATTGTACAAAGAGGGTTATGGAAATTACCGGAGCCACGCGGGTATAGAGCCTGGATGTTGGAAACATTTTTTAGGTATTTCATTTATTTTGAACATAGCAATTACTTACTCAATAATATTTTTGTGATCAATAATACACAGTTTTAGATTTTCAATATTTCTTTCCTCGGCCTCAGGGCTAATCACCCCATTCTCATTTCGATGATCATCATTTAAATGTTGCAATCTAAAAACCAAGGCCTTCAAGTGTGTCCTCAAGATTTGTGTATAAATAACAGCATAGGAGTCGTCTACAACTTGCTGGGAACAGGCCAAATACATGGGCATCATTTCCACAAAAACACCCAATACAAAACTACCCTTCGATGCAGTGGCATCAAGAAGGGGATTATATAAATTATAAGGCAATCGGTGAAATAGCACAGCACTGATACAGGTACTACTCGCATAAGACCAATAGGCCATGCCAAATAAGATGACAAAACGATTGCCATGGCTGATGAAACGTCTAACAAGATCTTTTTCTTCGGGACTGGTACAACGTTTGTCTAGACGTTCCAACACCGGATCACATTGCAGTAATTGAGGCAGAAGGAAATACATTAAAACGATTTTGATGGCACATCCCACAACATCAATGGCAACTTGCAGTGACGTCAGCATATCGCCAATTGCCACATCTCGATGTGTGATAATGCCCACCACAAGTCCGGTGGGCAAATATATGGTCGCATAGAGATTGACAAAAAGGGACCACAAAAAATACAAAAATCTGCCACGTTTGGGAAAATAAACGCCAAGTAAACGAAAACCAATGAACAGGAAACGCAAACCATGGCGTGTTTGAACGGAAGAATCGTCATTCGTATCTATAAAAAAGGACAATAATAAAAATCAGAATCACAAAAAATAGAAATTTACAATACCAGATTTATTTGCATGACTAGATTTAAGCGTTTTATTGCTGCTTGTAGAGGGTTCTTGTTCGTCCTCCTGAACTTGTTGTGGCAATACCGTTGTAATATTTGGAATTTCCATTGTTGAAAATACGCTGCTAACTGAAACATTTGCCCCAACATCCTTTTGCTTTTATAGAATTCAGAATACATTAAATATGTAATTGTTCGAAAAGTTTTGTAAATAATTATTTTTCATTTGATTTGGGGTGGATGGGCAGAGAAAAGGCACTGTTAGAATTTTAATGAAATTAGCCAAACTTTTGCCCTTGCCTTTTGACATTTTACCAGGGGGGAGGGAGGGTGGTTTGGAAATATTCAACATGTTGATCCCGATGTCATTTTGTGCGCAACAAATTCTATTCTTTCGCCATTGAACATACATATTATGGAGTTATGTTTAGAAATTTAACAACTTCTCCCTAGAGATTGTTTATTGTTCAAGGACGGTAATTAAAAATGTGGATTAGAAAAATTGTGGGTTATTTTCTAAGGTACACGTTCAAAATTCTTGTTGAAGAAAATTTGAATTCCTAGAAGAGTGGGGGCGAAATAAAAATTGTAAATTTATTTTGATATTCTTTTTATTTCATGTATAATTTTCTGAGTTCAAAATATTGGCCCTCGGCAAACACAGACCATGTTTTTGGCGCAACCAAAAGATGAGTTGGGGGGATATAAAACTTTGTTGCCCCCTTCTCCCAACTAACAAATTTTGTTTAAACTTTTGTGAATATTGCCTCTTAACCATGGTAGAATCAAGAAGGTCAAGTAATTTCAAATAAGCATCCCCATCTTTGCAATTTCTGTAACTGAGATTGCCAAATGCAATCGTTCACATGAACTGTTACAACAAACACAAAACTCGTGGTAGAAGCCGCGTCGACACAGCTGCTGGGACAATGAACTGTCAAATCTATTTTGAAATTTAAAATTTTGAATGAAAAATTATTCAAATTTGTAAAAAATTTAAAAAATAGCATATCTTAACAACCTCCGATTGGCGTTGTATAGAAAACTAAATATAAATATACGTATTTTTAAAAAAAACATTCAAAATTTTTTGACATATCAATGTTCCCAAGCGCTGATGCATCTACCTAGGTTTAGATTTGTTCGAATTGATCACCTTTGGCACGAATTATGGCCTTCAAACGGCCAATGAAACCGTGACACGCTGCCCGAATGTTGCTCTGTGGCATTTTGGCCCATTCCCGGCGAAGCGCTAGCTTGAGGTGATCGACACTTTGGTATTTTTTAGTGCCAACTTTGCTTTCCAAAATACTCCAGACACAGTAATCCAACGGATTGGTATCCGGAAATTTTGGTGTCCATTGTGCGCTGGAAATGAAGCGAGGAATCTCAGTTTGTAACCATTCTTGGGTGGCGCGTGCTAATTGCGATGGTGCTGAGTTCTGTTGGAATGTCCAAGGTCTGCGGCCAAAATGTTTGCGTGTCCAAGGCTGAATATTTTCGCGATAATATTCGGCATTTAGTCTGATGCTACGGTCAATTAATACGAGCAGAGAACGACCATCGGCAAACTGCACTACAACGAATATTTTCTCATCTGAGAAAACCAAATTCGGCAGTTCATCACCACCTTCGGCCAAGCGAAGCAACCTTTTAGCTCTTTTGAGACTATTTTCTATCTGTCGCAGTGTAAGTTCCTGCACTTTTTGGAATTTCAATGATTTTACCCCGAACTCATTTTTCAATATTTGTCGAATGGATTATTGCGATATGTTCAGCCATTTTTCGGCTACTGGGACGCGGGTTTCGATCATGTTGCTTCTTTACTTTTCGAACCATTTCTGCTGATGTTGCTGGTTTCTTCCGTCCTCTTTCTTGGCTTCGTCGGGCTACGCTACCAGTATCACGGTAACGAGCGATGGTACGAGACTCAAACGATTTATTCACATATAATTTTTTTACATTTCACATTTTTTCTGGAAAATTCTCACCAAAATGCTTTTGTACGCTTGTAAAATTTTAATGAGCTGTCACTGGAATAATTTTAACAGCTGTCAGACGAGTGGCTTAGAAGTGACAACAGTCTGAAGTTGGTTGCAGATTTTTAATTTCACCCTGTACTTCGGCCAAATTTGCTTTTTTTAATGAACACAAGTTCTCATATTTCCAAATTCAATTTTTACGTTTTTATTTTTATTTTGAATTTGAATTTGTGTTTGTCAAAATCATTTTGACAATAGGTATGTCTGGTTACTTTATCTGCAGGAATTGTCCAGCAACTTCTTTTTGAGAAAGTGGGGTAGTTTTATTCGCTTTTGCAATCAGCTAATTTATCAAAACCAAGCAATTTGTCCTCAAATAAAAGAAGTTAAGAACACAAAAACTAAAAATTAATAAAAACAAGTTATAAGCAGTAAAGCTGGAAATACATAAACCGCTTATCTGGCTGGCTTCTTCGGAAATGAACAAAGGAGCCCAGGGCAAAAATCTAACTAAGTCAACCTAAAACTCCTTTGTTCATCTACGAAGAAGCCAGCCGATGACTTAAGCCAGCCAAATAAGCGCTTTATGTATTCCCAGCTTAAGTTTGGCCGGGCCGAACTTTGAATATCCTCCACCATTTGGAAATTTTCAAAAAAATAAAATCCGTTAAAATTCTGTTAAAATCTTAAAAAAACCGAATATAGCAGTTATATTGGGGCCTATACGACGACATGGTCCTGTATAGGCACTGTTTGTGAGGTCTAAAATGTATATTTCGAAGTGTTACAAACGGAATGACAAACTTAATATACTCTCCATACTATGGTGGAGGGTATAAAAAGGTATGAGATAAATTCCAATTTCTTTTTGACCCTCTCTAACTAACTTAATACGAGTGAGTTAAATAAATTAGAATAAATATAGGTACATCCATGGTACAATGAAGAGAAGGTAAGGCAATTTTGAAAAAATTGCAAGTATAGAGGTCTACCTGTTTGGCTTGTAATGTCAGAATTAGTATCAAAACAATAAAAAATGAAACAACTTGTTGCATTTATTTTGAATAAATAATTGAAAACCGCGATAATTGAATGAAAGGTCAACACTGCTTTTCAAAATCATGTTCTATATATCTCTAAAGGATTATTTTGCTATAAAAACTCTAGATTTTGTCGATGCATACGTTGAAATAAGCATTTTGAAAACACCCGAATTTCAATGTTTTCTGAACAATTTTTTGTTATTGAAAAGAAAACTCATACATAAACAAATAAATAAGACATATTAAGCCAAGAAAATAAAAAAATTGAAATCATATGGTATCATAGCCCTACCTTGATATCATTGTACCATGGGTACATCCATGGTACAATAAAAAGGTGAGGTAGAGCTCCCAGCTGATTACAATTTTTTTTAAGTGTGCCCGACTTCTGCCAATTTTGTGTATGTATCTGTTGTTTTGAAAAATAAAAACAAAATATTTTCAAAATCAATGATTGGAAGAAACTTAAATTGCGGGGTCGCATTAATAATTTTAGCCAAATTTGCCATGGAATTGAAAGATTGGAACATATTCTTGAGAGAACATCCAAGCATATCATTCATCTTTCGCGCTATTTGACGCATTTAAGAAATGAACAAAAAATATCATATAAATAAAAACCACTTGTTGCCTATAATTTGAATAATTCTGACAGGAAGCGGGCATAGCCTCAGGGCTGCATGTTCTTCCTCTTTATTGTACCATGGATACATCTGTCTGCAAATTTGCCAAAAAAAAATACCTATAAATATATTTTAAATGTTTAATTACTTTAAGGATATATTGGGACTATTCGATCCATGGAATTGAAATTGTTGAATGAAAAATTATTTAAATTTGTAAAAATTGTTTAAATATAATAACCTCAGAATGACGTCGTATAAGAAAACATATAAAAATAAATTTAGTTTTAAAGAAACATTTAAAAATTTTTGACATATCAATGTTCCCAAGCGTTGATGCATCTATTCTACCATGATTCGATGTTTCCCTTAATGCTCGAAACATGGTAGAATCAAGAATGTAAAGTCATGGAATCACATGTTTACAATTTTTTTTTTCAAAATTATTTATTTGATAACGTCTCATTGTCAAAATACGTATTTTTAAATCCGTTGAAAATACACAAATCTGAGATGTAAACCTAATTTTTATACTGTGAAATTTGACAAGAAATGGGTATGCTTATTTGAAATGACTTTACCTTCTAAATTTTACCCTGATTCGAAATATAATAATTTGCATGGTATCCAAAGCTTTATATTAATACTAACTTGACTATTGAATAAATAGAAATCTAACCAATTAATATTCTTTCCTTATTATATTTGTGTTGTGGCCTAATTATTTAATACTCATTTTCCAAAAAAAAAAAAAAAAAAAAATCAAAAAAAAAAAAAAAGAAAAAAAAGAAAAGAAAAAAATACGGATGCAAACCGAAAACATTTTCAGTGTATTCAGGCATATCTAATGAGAAAATTAAAAAATCTATTTTCAAATTACATCAAAGTTTTTCAGCACAATATTAATAATGTTACAGTGCAATCTTGCGATGGTTAAAGTAATTATAAAATAGAAGAAGAAACACAACGAATACAATTAAATTATTTAAGGAACACAACATAGTCTTCCTTTCTGACGTTCAGTAGCAAATAAAGTTTAGTACAAGTAAGTTTCTCATTATAAGCTCAATATAACCTATAATTTTGGACAATGTAAGTATATGTAAAAATTAGAAAAAAAATGATTGTTGTTTTTGTTTAAAATATTTATTTTCAAGATAACACAAGGTAAATGCTAGAATAATCTTGAAATGTCCTTTAAAGACCCAGACGTTCCTTGATACCCATCTGTTTGATCAGGGTGTAGAGAGAAAACGAAAATTTGGCAATCTGAAAAAAATAGATGAAGAAAACATATTTTTAAATTAATTTAATTTTTTTACGTGGTCGTGACTTTTTTATAATGTTTGTGTCATTTATTTGATATATTTCTATGTAATTTGACATGGCACGATAAAATCAAGGTAACCGCTTCCTGTCAAAATTATTAAAATTATATGCAACAAGTTGTTTTCATTTATTCGATATTATTTGTTCATTTCTAAACTGAGTCAAATAGCCTGGATGTTCTCTCAAAAATATAATCATAAGTGTTCAATCTTAAATCTAATGCACTCCCCACAATTTAAGTTTCTTCCAATCATTGATTTTGAAAATTTTTTGTTTTTATTTTTAAAAACAACAAATACATACGCAGAATTCGGGCACACTTAGAAAAAAATTGCAATCAGCTGGGAGTTCTACCTTACCTTTTTATTGTACCATGCTACCATCTGATTATGATTTTTTTCTAAGTGTGCCCGACTTTTGCCAATTTTGTGTATGTATTTATTGTTTTGAAAAATGAAAACAAAATATTTTTAAAACCAATGATTGGAAGACGCATACATTGCGGCTCGCGCATTAAACATTTTTAACCAGTTTAGCCATAAAATTGAAAGATTGAATAGTTAGAATCATATTCTTTAGAGAAAATCCAGGCATTTCATTAATTTTTCTCGATATTTAACTCGTTTTTAAATATGAAAAAATAAAAACAAATTGTATATAATTTTGAATGAGTCTGAGAGTAAGCGGGAATAGCCTCAGGGCTGTATTCCTGTAGTTTTACGAAGCTGTTCTACCTCCTTATTGTACCATGATTGCATCATATGACCTTCTTAATTTTATCATTGTAATCAGTTAAAATGAAGCGTTTATAAATACACGTTATAATTTTCCTTATTATGACCAGTTTTTGAAAAATAAATGTCTTTATAAAGGTTTTAATAATCTTCCCAAGGGTTGTGGCCAGAAAGCTTTATAGATTTAATAGGTGTGCCTGGATACTTTTCCTGCAGGAATTGTCCAGCAACATCTTCTTGAGAGAGAAATGTAGTTTTATCCTCTTTTGCAAGAAAACAGACGGTATTTCTGCAGGAGCTTCCAACTAATCAGCTGATTTGTCAAAACAAACCAATTTTTCCCCCATTAGCAGAATTAAAAGGAAGAAAGTACCACCAATTTTTCAATTTTATAAATAAAAAGGAAATAGACAATAAAATAAAAATATGAGCATTAAAAAAAATAGATTTGATGTATTCCCCGGAATCCTTTAAACTTGTTGCTAATGGCGTTTGTCTAAAAATGTTGGAAATAGTCTTTTATTTTCTTATTACATATTTATATTCACGTTGTTCACATTTTCAAAAGTTGTTCTCCAAAAGCCTTGCTAATTCCAAAAAATATTTTCACATTGAAAGAGCAAAAAGAAAAAAACAAACAATAGAAAACATCTGATTGAGTGTCGATGAATGAGAAGAAGAAGAGTTGCAAGTGATTGCGAGAAGACATTTGTCCAGCAATAAATTGCAAACTCACACTGAAAGAACTGTCAAAATTTCTCTCTCCATGTGCTCTCTTTTGCAAATTTTCGGGTTAACAGACGACTTCCAGCAACAATTGTTACAAATTTAAGATATTGTCAAATGTACAATTTTGATTAAAAAATTGCAAACATATGATTGCGTCACGTTACCTTCTTAATTTTACCATTGTAGTCAGCTTAAATGAAGCGCCACATAATTCTTTTGTTATGTCAAATTTTTGTTATGAAAAATCAACGACTTTATAAAGGTTTCAATAATCTTCCCAAGAGTTGCAAGTTTGTATTTATTGCAATTAAAAGTTTGGCAAAATAATTTACCGTGTGGCCAGAAAACTTTATAGATTTAAAATGGCAGTGAGACACGGTAGAAGAGTACAGGTTGTAACATCTACACAGCTGCTGGGACAATGAACTGTCAAACCAATTTCTGGAATTGAAAATTTTCAATGAAAAATTATTGAAATGTGTAAAATCTTTTGAAAAGCGTATGTCATAACAACCTCTGATTTGCGAAGTATAAGAAAACATATAAAAATCTATTCATTTTTCACAAAATATTTTAAAAAATGTTGACACTAAATATTCCCAAGCGTTAATGCATCCACCTGTACTCTTCTACAATACAATAAGACAGACCCTCGCTTTGTGGGGGTACACATTATGGATCATGTTCATTTAGTGGGTGTGTGCGTTCTCTGTCATATCCTCTTCAAAATACTCGCGTGAAATTTCTATTTCACAATATGCAATATTGCAATTTGCTTCTCGTTTAATAGACGGAATATTTATTACACATAAAATGTCTAATTTTCCATATGTATAAAGCACTCATATCGTGTGATACATTGACGCTATTTCCGTTGGAGAGGTACATAATTTATTGAAAAGTGTTGTTTGTTGTGAAAAAATATATAGAATTAAGTTTGCGGCGGAAATTCATCCATGAAATATTAACATTTTTATAAAATATAAAATAATAATGCAATAATGCCGTGGTGTATATATGTCTCCACCTTAAAGGTGGGAGTACATAAGCAGCTTGAAGTCTTCGCATGGCATACTTTGTGACATATCATAAAGGGATGTCAGAGCAGCACTCGAATCCCACCATCGTTTCTCTTCACAATTTGACATTAATATGCCTAGCCATGAAGCCAAGCTGCTAATGTAGCTTCACCTTAACAGTGCATGAAAAGTTTTAATTGAAAGATAATGTGTACTCAATATAATAATTAGGCGGACAATAGGCATGTACCATGGTACAATGAATGGTAGAAGAATAGAGGTAGTCCCATGGTAGAAGAATACAGGTAGATGCATCAACGCTTGGGAACATGGATATGTCAAAAAGAATTAAATATTTCTTCAAAAATAAGTATATTTACATATGTTTTCCTACACGACACCAGTCGGAGGTTTTTATAATATTAATTTTTTAAAATTTTTTTACAAATTTGAGATATTTTTCATTCAAAAATTTCAATTTCAAAATGTCGAAGCGTCTACCTATATTCTTCTACCATGGGTAGTCCCATCGACACAGGGACACTGAACTGTCAAACCAATTTTGGAATTGCACTGAAAAATTATTCAAAATTGTAAAAATTGTTAAAAAATGCATATCATAACAACCTCCGATTGATGTCGTATAGGAAAACATATACAAATCTACTTATTTTTGAAGAAACATTTACATAACTATAACATAACAATGTTTCCAAACGTTAATGAATCTACCTGTATTCTTCTACCACGGTACAATGAAAATATATTGTAATGCTCTGTCCCAGAAACTATAAAGGTGAGAATACATAAAACGTTTTTTGTGACTGGCTTTAGTCGTCGGCTGGCTTCTTCGGAAATGAACAAAGGAGTCTAGCGCCAAAATCGAACTAAGTAAACCTAAAACAACGTTGTTCCTCTACGAAGAAACCAGCCGGTGACTTAAGACAGTCTTGTTGCAACTTGTTGTATCTAATTCTGACGGAAAGCGGACATATCCTCAGGGATGTATTTCAGTAAAGACACCTTACCTCCTTATTGTACAATGGTGTGTATGATAACCCGATAATTTCTAAAAATTATTACAACCGGTTCGATGACATGACATGAAGCTGGAAATACATAAAGCGCATATTTGACTGGCTTAAGTCATCGGCTGGCTTCTTCGTAGATGAACAAAGGAGTTTTAGGTTAAACTAGTTCGATTTTGGCCCTAGGCTCCTTTGTTCATTTCCGAAGAAGCCAGCCGATGACTTAAGCCAGCCAAATAAGCGCTTTATGTATTCCCAGCTTCAAATTTCTTGTACCGATGCATGGCAGAAGAATACAGGTAGATGCATCAAAGCTTGGGAGCATTGATATGTCAAAAAAAATTTAAAGGTTTTTTCAAAAATATAAGTAGGTTTTTATATGTTTTCTTATACGACGTCATTCGGAGGTAATTATAATTCGTGTTTTTCAACAATTTTTACAAATTTAAACAATTTTTCATTCAACATTTTCAATTGCAAAATTGGTTTGACAGTTCATTGTCCCAGCAGATGTGTCGATGCGTTTACCTATATTCTTCTACCATGTACCGATGTCAGTCTTTCATCCCGTTTACACATTACCAAAAATCTTACACTTACACTGATAAAGGTATTCAAATTTATGGCAAACATTTTCCCAGCCCACAATTCCATGCTCTTCTGGGTGCGCTGTATGAAAAATATCAACATTTTGCGATAACGCCTATCCTGACCAATCCATGCCGAGTGAAATATCTCCGTAGCCAAAGTGTCACTGTCGTACAGCAAACAATTGGCATAATAACACAAGGGAAATATCTCCACCGATACGGCAACGATGTAAAATGCTGAGGCGGCCATAGCGGTTATGGATGAGGCAAAAATTGCAATGTTCACAAGTGTGATGCCCAAAATTGCCGCCGTTATGGAGAATTGTAGAAATATCGTACGCGAAATTACCGGTGAGATGGCATTGTAGAGTCTGAAAGATAAAAGTAAAAAATTGAAAGAAAATGTGTTATCTTTGTTTCGATGATAAGTGGTATTCTACATCACTAGGAAATAGGTAGGACATATAATGAATAATATATAAATACATACAGAAATGGCACATGTGTAAAACACATTCCGTCTGATAGTGCCTTAAGTGATACCATATACTTATGGTAGAAGAATTCAGGTAGTCGCATCGACACAGCTGCTGGGACAATGAACTGTCAACCCGATTTTGAAATTGAAAATTTTGAATAAAAAGCTATTGCAATTTGTAAAAATTTTTGAAAAATTCATATTATAATAACCTCCGATTTGCGTCACATAAAAACATATAAAAATCTACTTAATTTGGAGAAAGTATTTTAAAAATTTTGACGCTTAGAAACATTGATATGTCAAAAATTTTAAAAAGTATTCTTAAAAATAAGAACATTTTTATATTTTTTATATACGACACCAATTGGAGGTTGTTATGATATACAATTTTCAACAATTTTTAAAAATTTCAATAATTTTTTATTCAAAATTTGCAATTCCAAAATCGGTTCGACAGTTCATTGTCCCAGCAGCTGTGTCGATGCGACTACCTGTATTCTTCTACCACAGACGTTGATTTTAACTCTATATCATGGTAGAAGAATATAGGTAGATGCGTCGACACAGCTGCTGGGACAATGAATTGTCAAACCAATTTTGAAATTGAAAATGTTGAATGAAAAATTATTTAAATTTGTAAAAATTGTTGAAAAACGCGAATTATAATAGCCTCCGGATGACGTAGTATAAGAAAACATATAAAAATCTACTTATATTTGAAAAAACATTTAAATTTTTTTGACATATCAATGCTCCCAAGCGTTGATGCATCTACCTGTATTCTGCTGCCATGTGTATATCCACCTTAAGGCTGGAAATACATAAAGAGCTTATTTGGCTGGCTTAAGTCATCGGCTGGCTTCTTCGTAGATGAACAAAGGAGCCAGGGCCAAAATCGAACTAATTCAACCTAAAACTCCTTTGTTCATCTACGAAGAAGCCAGCCGATATGCGATATTCACATAAGCCAGCCAAATATGCTCTTTAAGCTGGGAATACATAAAGCGCTTATTTGGCTGGCTTAAGTCATCGGCTGGCTTCTTCGGAAATGAACAAAGGAGCCTAGGGCCAAAATCGAACTATGTCAACCTAAAACTCCTTTGTTCATTTACGAAGAAGCCAGCCGATGACTTAAGCCAGCCAAATATGCGCTTTATGTATTTCCAGCCTTATGTATTTCCAGCTTAAGTCGTCAGCTAGCTTCTTCGCAAAAGAATAATGGAGTTTTAGGTTGACTTAGTTCGATTTTGGCCCATAATTTATTTTTGTTAACCCTACGTTCCTTTGTTCATTTACGAAGAAACCAGGAAATGACTTAGGCTGGAAATACATAAAGAGCATATTTGGCTGGCTTAAGTCATCGGCTGGCTTCTTCGTAAATGAACAAAGGAGTTTTAGGTTGACCTAGTTCGATTTTGGCCCAAGGCTCCTTTGTTCATTTCCGAAGAAGCCAGCCGATGACTTAAGCCAGCCAGATAAGCGCTTTATGTATTTCCAGCTTTAGGCTGGAAATACATAAAGAGCATATTTGGCTGGCTTAAGTCATCGGCTGGCTTCTTCGTAGATGAAGAAAGGAGTTTTAGGTTGACATAGTTCGATTTTGGCCCTAGGCTCCTTTGTTCATTTCCTAAGAAGCCAGCCGAAGACTTGATGTTTGCTTTTATGGATTTTACGTCCGGGTTAGATCTCAATATAGGTATCACATTAATATTATCTATATCATTAATAATTTACTCTATTAACTCCTTGTGATCCTTTATGCAAGTTTTTAGCTCTTCCAAGTTCTGGTCAGCTGTTCGATTTACTTTTCGTCCCATTTTACGTATTCTTAGCAGCAAAATTCTCACATGTCCCCGCAAGATACAGACATAAATTGTGCCATACGAATCATTGGCCACCTGCTGGAAACACGTCCAGCTCGTCAGGAAATACTCGATAAATGAAGCCACATAAAATTCCAATTTCGAACGACGCCAATCAATAAGAAATAGATTTAAAGAATACGATGGTACACCAGATGCCAAGGCCGAGATGTAGGTCATCGTGGTATATATCCAATAGGCGATACCATAGCCAATTATAATACGCCTTCCCAGATTACGTATATTATATATCTCCTGTATTTCATCATCGGCCTGGCAATGTTGATCCATTTGATCCATGAGTTTTTCGGCAGCTTCCAATTTTTTCTTATAGTAGACGAGGAAGAATATTTTCACGATACAACCATAGACATTAATTACAGCCTGTACAGAGGTCAAGAACACACCCATATTGAAATTCTCATCAGTTTTGCGAAAGTAGCTCGTCGTAAAGCTAATGGGTGTAAACACTGTCGTTAAACTATGAATGACAATGGCATAAATCAGGTAAAGATGAGTGTGGCTTTTGGTAAAGTGTATTCCCATGACACGGAAACAGCCATAAAGATATGTAAGGGCCTGCTTTGTGGCCACCTTTTTAATAACTTTGACAGCTGTGGAGAAGAAATTTTATTAAAAATTATCAAAAAAAAGTATTCGTAAATTAGTTTACTTACTTTGTTTCGACATTGTTGGATTACAGGAAGCCCTGCCCAAAGCTTATTTACAGAATGAGTCAAATGAAACCTAAAGCCTTTTATACATACAATATCTGATGCTATAAAATTATTATATTTCATAGTTTTATGACTCACATAGGAGTTGTAAAGTTTTATTTTGGTAATTGGAATGGTCAGTGTTCTTTTGAAAATGCTACACATAGAAAAATTTGGTATTGCAAGTAAGCAGGAAACAAGCTACCTGTCTTGCCCAGAAGCCAACTCAGAATTAAAGGTGAGAATACATAAAATGTTTTTTTTTTTGGTTGGAAAAGAAGCATAGGACCAAAACCGAACTAAGTCAACCTAAAACTCCTACCAAAAACCTACCACTTTTACAATTTTTAAATTGTATTAATTGTCAAAAGATCGAAGTTTGCTCCCAGTTTTCTTACGAATTAAGGTGTAGGTATATAAATAACTTTTTGTACTGGCTTAAAGGTGAGAATACATAAAAAGCGTTTTTGGCTTGCTTAAGTCGTAAAACAACAAAAGAGCGTAGGGTTAACAAGTATAAACTATGAGCCAAATTCGAACTAAGTCAACCTAAAACTCCTTTGTTTTTTTTTTAAGAAAAAGCTAGCACATGACTTAAGTCATCAAAAAACTTGTTCTATATGTTCTCACCTTTAGAATGACAAAAATCTAGTTATTTATTCTTATTTTTAACAATGATTTGATGTCCCTTCATTGTCAAATTTATATTTTGAACTACTTCCTTAAATATCGGCGTACAGCTGGCAAGTCATTTACATTTATGTCAGACCAAATATTTTGTCATTTTCTCGACTTTAACAACCTTAATGAAGGAAGTATATAATCTAGAACAGAAAGCTAAGAGTGAGCCTTGATTGTGGAATGGGTGAATTTTTCTTCAAAGTATGATTTTGCTATAGCTAGGACATGTATGAAAATCGACAATGCCGCGCCTTGTCGTACCATAATACTGATAGAAAATGCCATTCCGCGTTTTCATTTGAATCGGCAATATATTAACTTCAGGAATTTGAAGGCGTAAAGGTGAGAATACATAAAACACTTCTTTGACTGGCTTAAGTCATCGGCTGGCTTCTTCATAAAACAACAAAGTAGCATAGGGTTAACAAATATAAATAAAGGACCAAAATTGAACTAAGTCAACCTATAGCTACTTTGTTCTTTTACAAAGAAGCCAGCCCATGACTTAGCCACTCAAAAAAGCGTTTTATGTACTATCACCTTAGGTCTCGTTCTAGTACAGAATCCATATAGCAGATATTGGAAATATTTGTAGTTATTTATACTTGGGGATCTATGGTTTAGAACATATAAAGGCTCGTCGAAATGTTTTCTACATATGTAGAGTCAAATTTTCCATGTGTGGAAGTTGCACATATCGTGTGATGCATGGACTACATTTCACTTGTGAAATACAAAAGTAAGTTACATAAAATGGTATAATTGACAAGGTAATCTCATCCTATCATACAATTACAATTGTTCTCTTTTATGTCCCTTCATTGTCAAATTTATAGTTTTTTAGTTCTTCCTTAAATATGGGCGTACGTTGGCAAGTATTTTTTCATTAATTTCAGACCAAATATGTTGTTATTTCCACGCTTTTTTGGCTGGATTCTTCGGAAATGAACAAAGGAGCTTAGGGCCAAAATCGAACTAAGGCTGGAAATACATAAAGAGCATTTTTGGCTGGCTTAAGTCATCGGCTGGCTTCTTCGGAAATGAACAAAGGAGACTAGGGCCAAAATCGAACTAGGTCAACCTAAAACTCCTTTGTTCATCTACGAAGAAGCCAGCCGATGACTTAAGCCAGCCAAATATGCGCTTAATGTATTTCCAGCCTAAGTCAAGCTAAAACTTCTTTGTTCCTCTACGATAAAGCCAGCCGATGACTTAAGGGTGGAACACATAAAGCGCATATTTGGCTGGCTTAAGTCATCGGCTGGCTGGAGTTTTAGGTTGACTTAGTTCGATTTTGGTCCTTCGCTCCTTTGTTCATTTTCAAAGAAGTTAGCCGCTGACTTAAGCCAACCAGATAAGCGCGTTATGTATTCCCAACTTTACTCTGCTGTTTTGCCATACAACGAACCTTCTTTTGTTTTTAACATCAACTAGTATTAATTATATTATTTACGGGAAACATCCGGACCAGTATGTATGTGGTAGTAAAATGCAGCTCCGAATCAAATTTGCCTTTTGTAATATATACATACGGGGTGAGATACAAAAAAAACTGCAACAAAGTCAAATGCCATAATTTTTACATTTTTTTAAATTTTATTGAATGAAAGCAAAAAAATGTCCGAAATAGCATCAAATTTTAGAATAAAGCTGGGAATACATAAAGCGCTTATTTGGCTGGCTTGAGTCATCGCCTCGCTTCTTCGGAAATGAACAAAGGAGCCTAGAGCCAAAATCGAACTAGGTCAACCTAAAACTAAAATCTACGAAGAAGCCAGCCGATGACTTAAGCCAGCCAAATATGCGCTTTATGTATTTCCAGCCTAAGTTTAGATTTGTTAGAATTGGTCGCCTTTGGCACGAATTATGACCTTTAAACGGCACACCCTGCCCCAAATGATGCTCTGTGGTATTTTGGCTCATTCCCGGCGAAGCGCTTGCTTGAGCTGATCGATACTTTGGTATTTTTTTAGTGCCAACCTTGCTTTCCAAAATACTCCAGACACAACAGTCCAACGGATTGGTATCCGGAGATTTTGGTGGCCATTGTGCGCTGGAAATGAAGCGAGGAACCTCATTTTGTAACCATTCTTTGGTGGCGCGTGCTGAGTGCGATGGTGCTGAGTCCCGGTGGAATGTATAAGGTATGAGGCCAAAATGTATTTGTGCCCAAAGGCTTTAATACACCCTCCAGAATATTTTCGCGATAATATTCGGCATTTATTCTGATGCCACGGTCGTTTAAAACGAGCGGAGAGCGACCATCAGCTGTTATGGCGGCCCACACCATCACCATGGCCGGCGATTGAGTTCTGGTAGCCAACCGAAGGTGCACATTTTCAGCTGACCTCTTTGGCAAGTAAACATGATCGTTTTGTTTGTTTACAAACTGCTGGACAAAGAATGTTTTTCCATCGAAGAAAACCAAATTAGACAGTTCACCACTTTCGGCCAAGCGAAGCAACTCTTTAGCTCTTTTTTTTTTTCTGTTGCGGTGTAAGTTCTTGCAGTTTTTGGCATTTCAATGGCTTTACCCCGAGCTCATTTTCCAATATTTGCTGAATGGAATATTGCGATATGTTCAGCTCACGAGCCATTTTTCGACCACAGTGACGCGGGTTTCGATCAAGTCCCTTCTTTACTTTTCGAACCATTTCTGCTAATGTTGCTGTTTTCTTCCGTCCACTTCCTTGACGCCGGGCTACGCTACCAGTATCGCGGTAACGAGCGATGGTACGAGACACAAAATATTTATTCACATTTAAATGCTGAAGAGCTCTAAAGGTGGGAATACATAAAACGCTTTTTTGACTGGCTTAAGTCATCGGCCGGCTTTTTCGGAAAAGAACAAAGAAGCCTGGGGCCAAAATCGAACTAGGTTAACCTAAAACTCCTTGTTCATTTACGAAGAAGCCAGCCGATGACTTAAGCCAGCCAAATATGCGCTTTATGTATTTCCAGCCTTAGAATTAACGCGGCGAATTGTAACATTGAAAGATGCATTATTTTCCTTGCGGAAGGCCGCCAATGTGAATGGACACTTTTCAACATAAATTATCTCTAAAGTAAGGTTGTTGATACATTTTCGGGTATTTTTTTTTGTATTCTCTTTTGATTGTATGTGTGTACATCAGCCGAGTGGCATTTCTATCTTCCCATGGTAGAAATATACAGGTAGTCTCATAGACACAGCTGCTGGGACAATAAACTGTCAAATCAATTTGGCAATTGACATTTTTGAATGGGAAATTATTGAAACCTGTAAAAATTGTTGAAAAACACGAATTATAATAACCTCCGAATCATATAAGAAAACATATAAAAATCTACTTATATTTGAAAAAAAACGTTTAATTTTTTTGACATTTCAATGTTCCCAAGCGTTGATGCATCTACCTGTATTTTTCTACCATGTATCATCCTAAGGAAGCATCCATGGCAGAAGAATACATGTAGACACATCGACACAGCTGCTGGCACAATAAACTGTTAAATCAATTTTGCAATTGACATTTTTGAATGGAAAATTATTCAAATCTGTAAAAATTGTTGGAAAACGCATATTATAGTAACCTATATAATAACCTAAATCTATATATATTTCAAAAAAGTTTTTAAAAATTTTGACATATCAATGTTCCCAAGCGTTGATGCATCTTCCTTTATTCTTCTACCATGGATGCATCTAAACACACTATGGCCGGTTATTACATCTTTCCGCCAGATAAAAAAGTGATTTTGTCGGACACATAAATCGTTTTTCGTTATTACAAGTCTCATTTAAATAAAAACTGACCGATAAGCAAAAGGCCAGACCATCTTCCCTTTATCTTTTAACGTAAAGTTTACTGACTTCATGTTGCCATATTTTATATTGATAATATAACAATAACAGCAAAATTTATTTAAATAAGGAAATGGATAACACAAATCATTTATTTTATATTGAAGAACTGAATTATAAATTTATTTCACAAAATTAATTACAAATTCGTTTTGTTTATTATTTTCAAACTAAAATGAAGATGCCATTGTGAAAAAAATGCTGTGACTACCAGTTACTTTTGCAAAAAGCTTGCCATATCTCTGTAAAAATGCTTATATTTTAAAGGAAAGATGTAATAATGAGAACCCGATAATGTGAACTTTATCCTTCACTTTTCCTAAAGTAAGGGATAACAAAAGTGGACTATGAAGGGAAGATATAAGATCGGGTCCATATCTTATAAACCCAGTGGCTTAATCTTGCTTTAGAAACACTCTCAATATTATAAATTCGTCTATATTTTTTTTTTTTTGTTAAATCAATGACCACCCACCTTAAGCTGGGAATACATAAAGCGCTTATTTAGCTGGCTTAAGTCATCGACTGGCTTCTTTGGAAATGAACAAAGGAGCCTAGGGCCAAAATCGAACTAGGTCAACCTAAAACTCCTTTGTTCATCTACGAAGAAGCCAGCCGATGAATTAAGCCAGCCAAATATGCGCTTTATGTATTTCCAGCCTTATTTCGTACAGTGTTCATCCTCTATATTCCTTGAATTTAATCAGCTGCTAAGCAGTTTTCTCATTTTCATTTCTTTTTCATTCTTCTTGTTTTTTCCGAAGGCCAAAGAAGAATAAAGTTTTTTCTTTAATTACCTGTCGTCGAGAAACTTTTGAAAACAATAATTAAAAAGTGTTATTTTATCACACTACTTAATAATACATATTGAAAAGTTAACCAATTAAGTCAATTTACTGTTAACTTTGTGTGCCTAGGGCACACAACGTCTGTGTGGAGGGGAGTAAACTTGTGGTTAGGTTGGAAAATGAAAATAGTTGTGAAGACAAATGGGCGTGAGGGTGTGTGAAATCAACAGTGAATTAGTTAAATTCGATCGACAATGTGTTATAGATTTTTTTCATAAATGGAAGAAAAAGTGTTTCAGTATTGAGGTGAGAGTACGAAATAGGCATTTTTGACTGGCTGAGAGGTGAAAGTACATAAAGGCTTTTTTGACTGGCTTAAGTCATCGGCTGGTTTCTTCGTAGGTGAAAAAAAGAAGTTTAAGGTTGACTTAGTTCGATTTTGTCCCTACGTTCCTTTGTTCTTTTCTGAAGAAACCTGCCAGACAAAAAAGCATTTTATGTGTTCTCATCTTTAATCGTACGTTAGGGGTACGGAATATTAGTACCAAATTTTGGTTACAGTTAAACGACCAATAAAACTTAAATATTTCTTTATTCTCCACTCCCTTGTTCGTTCGTTCCGTACTTTTATTTTTCAGCAACTATGTAAAATGCAGCTCTGATTCCAGAAAGTTTGTGCTGTGTGAACACCAGATTAAATAAAATAAAGAAGGTAAAGTCATTTGAAATAAGCATATCCATCTCTGCATTTTATGTAATTTACCTTGTCACTACCATGGTAGAAGAATATGATAGACGCATCGAAACAGCTGCTGGGACAATGAACTGTCAAAACCATTTCGAAATTGAAATTTTTGAATGAAAAATTATTTAAATTTGCAAAAATTGTTGAAACGCGTATTATAACAACCTCCGAATGACATCGTTAAGAAAACATATAAAAATCTACTTATATTTTTATTATTTATTTTATTTTCATCAGCTTTTTGTGTAGCGTCATTATTTTGACATGAATTTGACAATTTCCCATTCCCGTAATATTTCTTTTTTTTTTTTTTGAAAATTTGACATTTTGCTACCAGAAAAGGACGGGAACGGAGCTAATATGTTTTTTTTTATAATATTTAATATATATAATTCAATAAATTCCAGCATCCATTATAAACCCAAACGCTCCTTAATGCCCATTTGTTTGATTAGTGTATAGAGCGAAAAGGAAAATTTGGCAATCTGTAAAAAAAGAAAGGAAAATTCGTAACAATACTAGTAAAAAGACAAAAAAGACAATTTATAAATAAAAATATTTACAAAAATTGCTTGCTTTACAAATGCGACAAAAATTAAATAACCGATTTCATGTGTGGCCATACACCTTAATAGACTATAGAGAGTAGAGTATACATTACCAATTTCTTAAGTAGAGTATACATTATCGATCATTATGATTGCTATTCGCCGAAATCTAAACATATACAGAATGAGATGAAAAAACTGCAGCCAACTTCAGACTGCTGTCATTTCTAAGCCACTCGTCGGACAGCTGTTAAAATTATTCCAGTGACAGCTCATTATATTGTTTATAAGCGTACAAGAGCATTTTGGTGAGAATTTTCCAGAAAAAAAAGTTATTCGTGATGGAATTCAAGCGTGATACTGTGATTTCTTTATACTTGACTGGAAGAACTCCAGGTGACTATCGTTGGAGCACTCCAGCATTTAAATGTGACTAAATCTTTTGTGTCTCGTACCATCGCTCGTTACCGTGATACTGATACTGGTAGCGCAGACCGGCGTCAATGAAGTGGACGGAAGAAAACAGCAACATCAGCAGAAATGGTTCGGAAATGGAAAAGAAGCGATTTGATCGAAACCCGCGTCGCAGTGGCCGAAATATGGCTCCTGAGCTGAACATATCGCAATATTCCATTCGGCAAATATTGGAAAATGAACTCAGGGTAAAGTCATTGAAATTCCACAAAGTGCAAGAACTTACACCGCAACAGAAAGAAAATAGGGTGGAAATACATAAAGCGCATATTTGGCTGGCTTGAGTCATCGGCTGGTTTCTTCATAGATGAACAAAGGATTTGTAGGTTGACTTAGTTCGATTTTGGCCTTATGCTCCTTTGTTGATTTCCGAAGAAGTCTTAAGCCAGCCAGATAAGCGCTTTATGCATTTCCACCTATAGACTCAAAAGAGCTAAAGAGTTGCTTCGTTTGGCCAAAAGTGGTGAACTGCCAAATTTGGTTTTCTCCGTCTCCGATGAGAAAACATTCTTTGTCCAACAGTTTGTAAACAAACAAAGTGATCGTGTTTACTTTCCAAAGAGGTCAGCTGAAAATGTGCAAATGCAAATGGCCATCAGAACTCAAGCGCCGGAAATGGTAATGGTGTGGGTCGCCATTACAGCCGATGGTCGCTCTGCGCTCGTATTAATCGACCGTGGCATCAGAATAAATGCCGAATGTTATCGAGAAAATATTCTGGAGGATGTATTGAAGCCTTGGGCATGCAAACATTTTGGCCGCAGACCTTGGACATCCCAACCGGACTCAGCACCATCGCAGCACTCAGCACGCGCCATCCAAGAATGGTTACAAAATGAGGTTCCTCGCTTCATTTCCAGCGCAAAATGGCCACCAAAATCTCCGGATACCAATCCGTTGGACTATTGTGTCTGAAGTATTTTGGAAATCAAGGTTGGCACTAAAAAATACCAAAGTGTGGATTCCCTCAAGCAAGCGCTTCGCCGGGAATGGGCCAAAATACCGCAGAGCAACATTCGGGCAGCATGTGACGTTTTCATTGGCCGTTTGAAGGCCATAATTCGGGCCAAAGGTGACCAATTCAAACAAATCTAAACTTGATGCTAAAATTTGATGCTATTTCCGACATTTTTTGCTTTCATTTAATAAAATTAAAAAAAAAGGAAAAAATTATGCCGTTTGACTTTGTTGCAGTTTTTCTTTTATCTCACCCTGTATGTAGTCCTGTGGATTTCATTTGAAGTATACGAAATTGACGCAATATCAAATGCCATACTTACACTTATAAAACTATTCAAATTAATGGGAAATATTTTTCCAGCCCACAATTCCATGCTCTTCTGAGTGCGCTGTATGAAAAATATCAACAGTTTACGATAACGCCTATCCTGATCAATCCATGCCGAGTGGAATATTTCCGTAGCCAAAGTGTCACTGTCGTACAGCAAACAATTGGCATAATAACACAAAGGGAATATCTCCACCGATACGGCAATGACATAAAACCCTGAGGCGGCCATTGCGGTTATGGTTGCAGCAAAAACGGCAATGTTTATCAGTGTTATGCCCAAAATGACAGCTGTTATGGAAAATTGTAGAAATATCGTACGCGAAATGACGGGAGAGATAATATTGTAGAGCCTGTGGATGGAGAGGACATGTAGGTTATGATATCGGCAATTATTAAACTTTTCTTCGTAAAACACGTAATTGAGGTATCGACATAACGGTGGAACTACATAAAGAGATTTTCTGACTGGCATAAGTCATCAGCTGGCTTCTTCGTAAAAGAACAAAGGAGTTTTAGGTTAACTTAGTTCGATTTTGGCCATACGCTCCTTTGTTCTTTTACGAAGAAGCCAGCTGATGACTTATGCCAGTCAGAAAAGCTCTTTACGTACTTCCACATTAGAACAGGCTTTCATCAATACATGCATGGTAGAAAAATACAGGTAGATGCATCATCGCTTGGCAACATTGATATGTCAAATTTTTTAAATTGTTTTTTAAAAAATAGGTGTATTTTTATAAGTTTTCTCACACGACATGATATGAATTTTTCAACAATTTTTACAAACTTGAATAATTTTTCATTCAAAATTTTTAATTTCTAAATTGGTTTGACAGTTCATTGTCCAATCAGCTGTGTCGATGCCACTAACGGTGTTCTTCTGCCATGAATGCATAGAATGTTAGGCTATGTTTACATCAAGCAAATAAAAAAACGTTATTTAAGTTGTCCTCTTCACTGTTGTTTTGGTGCCAAGGTATACTGGCTTAAGTCATCGACTGGCTTCTTCGTAAAAAAACAATGGAATCTTAAGGTGAGATTACATAAATCGCATTTTTGACTGGCTCGACAGTCATCGACAGGCTTCTTCGTAGAGAAACAAAGGAGTTAGGTTGATTTAGTTCGATTTTGGTCCTAGACTCCTTTGTTCTTTTTCGAAGAAGCCAGCCGATGACAGTCAAAAAAGTGTTTTATTTACTCTCACCTTAAGGGCTTAATTCATCGGCTGGCTTCTTCGAAAAAGAACAAAGGAGCGTAGGGCCAAATCGAACTAAATTAACCTAAAATTCCTTTGTTCCTCTACGAAAAAGCCAGCCGATGACGAAAGTCAGTCAAAAAGCATTTTATGTATTCACCCCTTTAAGGTACCAGTACATAAAACGCTTTTTTGAGCGTGGGGCCAAAATCGAACTAAGTCAACCTAAAACGTCATGGTTCCTCTACGAAGAAGCCACCCGATGACTTAAGCAACAAAATATGTATGTATTTCCACCCAAAGTCATCGGCTGGCTTCTTCGTAGAGGAACTATGACGTTTTAGGTTGACTTAGTTCGATTTTGGCCCTACGCTCAAAAAAGCGTTTTATGTACAAAGGAGTTTTAGGTTGGCTTAGTTCGATTTTGGCCCTACGCTCCTTTGTTAATTTCCAAAGAAGCCAGAGAGATAAGCGCTTTATGTATTCCCACCTTTAAGAAAGTCAAAAAAAAAAAACCTTTTATGCACTTTCACCTCAAGCCCTTCTTTCTCTTACTCCGACAAATCCTTATGATCTTTGATGCAACTTTTCAGCTCTTCCAAATTCTGATCAGCTGTTTGATCCACTTTTCGTCCCATTTTACGTATTCTTAGCAGCAAAACACGTACATGTCCTCGCAAGATACAAACATAAATCGTGCCATACGAATCATTGGCCACCTGCTGGAGACATGTCCACGTAACTAGGACGTATTCCAGAAATGAAGCCAAATAAAATTCCCGTTTCGAACGTTTCCAATCTAGAAAAAATAAATTTATCGAATACGATGGTACACCCGATACCAATGCTGAAATGTATGTCATCGTTGTATAGGTCCAATAGGCGGTGATATAGCCCAACACAATTTTCCTTCCCAAATCACGAATATTGAACAACTCTTGGATTTCGTCTTCAGCCCGGCAATGTTGATCCATTTTATCCATTAGTTTTTCGGCAGCTTCCAATTTTGTTTTATAATAGATGAGGAGGAGAATTTTTATGGCACAACCATAGACATTTATCACGGCCTGGATGGAGGTGAGAAAAACGCCAACATTGAAGTCCTGATCGGTTTTGCGAAAGTAACTGGTGGTAAAGCTAATGGGTGTAAATACTGTCGTTAAACTATGAATAACAATGACATAGATAATGTAAAGATGAGGATGGTTTTTAGTAACGTGTATTCCCATGACACGAAAACATATGTAAAGATTGGTGAGGGCCTGCTTTGTGGCCACTTTTTTAGATATTTTGACAGCTAGGGGGAGTAACAAGTCAAAAAAATAAATTGATTAATAAATAAAATAAGTATTATAGTTCTCATGGTAGAATTAGGAAGATAAAGTCATTGCAAATAAGAATATCCATCTCTGTATTGTCTTGTCAAATTTCACTGCAGATAAAATAGGTTCCCATTCTTCGAAAATGAACAAAAGAGTCTAGGGCCAAAATCGAACTAAGTCAACCTAAAACTCTTTTGTTTATCTACGAAGAAGCCAGCCGATTACTTAAGCCAGCCAAATATGCGCTTTAAGTATTTCCACCCTAAATAATTTTGAAAATAATTGTAAACATATAATTGCACGACTCTACCTTCTTAATTCTACAATAACTATTTTGTGGTTTACATACTTTTCTTTTTGCCCAGCATTTTGTGGTTACAACTCACTCTGCTCAAAGCTAATTCACAAAATGGGACAAGATAAGTCCAAAGCCCTTTATATAGCTTAGAACAACTTTGCAAATTACGTTTGCTTTTTATGGGTAGCTAATGAAAGGGTTTTCTTGTGCGTAATTATAGTTTTTATAATCGCAAATATTCTCTTTGAAATCGAGCAGGGAGTAAAATGTGTTGTTATACAAAGTCCCAATTTACACGTTGAAATTTCGGCGAAATGAAAAATGAATATTGTGGAAAAGGGAAGGGCGAGTTCACTCGACATCTTATCTTTTCTTTATAGTCCAGTTTTGTTATCCCTTAAGATGAGAATACATAAAACGATTTTTTGACTGACATAAGGTGAGAGTACATAAACAAGCGGAAGTCTTCGCATAATATATTTTGTGACATATCATCAAGAGATGCCAGAGCCGCGCTCAAATCCTGCCGTCGCTGTTCCCTATAATTTGACATTAAAATGCCTAGACATGATGCCATGATAGAAGAATACAGGTAGACGCATCGACAAAGCTGCTGAGACAATGAACTGTCAAACTAATTTTGAAATTAAATATTTTAAATGAAAAAATTTTCAAATTTGTAAAAATTGTCCAAAAAAAGTATATTACAATAACCTCCGATTGACGTCTTATAAGAAAACATATAAAAATCTACATATAGAGGGTGAGATAAAAAAAACTGCAACAAAGTCAAAAGCCATAATTTTTACATTTTTTTTAATTTTATTGAATGAAAGCAAAAAAATGTCGGAAACAGCATCAAATTTTAGAATAAGTTTAGATTTGTTTGAATTTGTAACCTTTGGCACGAATTATGGCCTTCAAACGGCCATTGAAAACGTCACACGCTGCCCAAATGTTGGCCCATTACCGGCGAAGCGCTTGCTTGCGGTGATCGACAGTTTGGTATTTTTTAGTGCCAACCTTGCTTTTCAAAATACTCCAGACACAATAGTCCAACGGATGGGTATCCGGAAATTTTGGTGGCCATTGTGCGCTGGAAATGAAGCGAAGAACCTCATTTTGTAACCTTCTTGGGTGGCGCGTGTTGAGTGCGATGGTGCTGAGTCCTGTTCGAATTGGACACCCTTGGCACGAATTATGGCCTACGAACGGCCAATGAAACCGTCACACGCTGCCCGAATGTTGCTCTGCGGTATTTTGGCTCACTTCCAGCGAAGCACTTGCTTGAGGTGATCGACACTTTGGTATATTTTAGTGCCAACCTTGCTTTCTAAAATACTCCAGACACAATAGTCCAACGGATTGGTATCCGGAGATTTTGGTGGCCATTGTGCGCTGGAAATGAAGCGAGGAACCTCACCATTTTTGGGTGGCGCGTGTTGAGTGCGATCGTGCTGAGTCCTGTTGGAATGTCCAAGGTCTGCGGCCAAAATGTTTGTGTGCCCAAGGCTTTAATATACCCTTCAGAATATTTTCGCGATAATATTCGGCATTTATTCTGATGCCACGGTCGATAAATACGAGCGGAGAGCGGCCATCGGCTGTTATGGCGGCCACACCGTCACCATCACCATGACCGGTGCTTGAGTTCTGATGGCCAAACGAAAGTGCACATTTTCAGCCGACCTCTTTGGCAGGTAAACACGATCATTTTGTTTGTTTGCAAACTGCTGGACAACGAATGTTTTCTTATCGGAGACGGAGGAAACCCAAATTCAGCAGTTCACCACTTTCGGTCAAGCGAAGCAACTCTTCAGCTCTTTTGAGTCTATTTTCTTTCTGTTGCGGTGTAAGTTCCCGCACTTTTTGGAATTTCAAAGGCTTTACCCTGAGCTCATTTTTCAATATTTGCCGAATGGAATTTTGCGATATGTTCAGCTCGCGAGCCATTTTTCGGCCACTGCGACGCGGGTTTCGATCAAGTCGCTTCTTTACTTTTCAAACCATTTCTGCTGATGTTGCTGTTTTCTTCCGTCCACTTCCTTGACGTCGGGCTACGCTACCAGTAACGAGCGATGGTACGAGACACAAAAGATTTATTCACATTTAAATGCTGGAGTGCTCTAACGATAGCCACTTGGGGTTTTACTAGCCAAATATAAAGGAATCACACTATCACGCTTGAATTCCATCACGAATAGCATTTTTTCTGGAAAATTCTTACCAAAATGCTTTTGTGCGCTTGTAAACAATATAATGAGCTGTCACTGGAATAATTTTAAGGCTGGAAATACATAAAGAGCATATTTGGTTGACTTAAGTCATCAGCTGGCTTCTTCGTAGATGAACAAAGGAGTTTTAGGTTGACTTAGTTCGATTTTGGCCCTAGGCTCCTTTGTTCATCCAGCCAGCCAGATAAGCCTTTTATGTATTCCCACCTTAACAGCTGTCGGACGAGTGGCTTAGACATGATAGCAACCTGAAGTTGGTTGGAGTTTCTTCATCTCACCCTATATTTGAAATTTGTTTTTTAATTTTTGACACATCAATGTTCCCAATTAAGGTGAGAATACAGCGTAGGGCCGAAATCGATCTAAGTCAACCTAAAACTCTTTCGTTCCTCTATGAAGAAGTCAGCCAATTACTTACACCTGTAAAAAAGCGTTTTATGTATTCTCACCTTTACCATTTATGACACTGACTAATAGCGTGTTTACATACTCGCAATCTAGTAGATTTTGGGACTTCCATTATTATATTTCCCAAAAGAATGTTCATGTGTTTTTCGTATTTACTGTTGAAAGGATTATTATGATAATTTTTATTTATTGCTTCTTTACTTATTTTCATTGCCATAACTCAATTGATAATTTCTTGAATTCAAATGCGGAAATTTTACGAAAAAAAAAGAGTTTAATCATAAAGAAGGGGCTTGAATGGAGTAAATTTTACAACTTCTTCGCCCCTCTCTACTAAAAACATCCTTTTCCTCACGGCAAACTTTACACGTGTTAATTGGGTCTATATTGTTCTCGTTTCTGTTTTTATTTTTGTTTTTCTTTCTTTCTTTTAAAACGTAAACAAAACTTTTTCCTTTGTTAAATTTCCTTTTGAAAAGAGCAAATAAATATATTATTTTATCACACTAGTTAATAATACGTTTCAAAGCTTACAATTGCTAACTTTGTTTGCTAGTACAAATTGTGTCTAGAAAAGGAGGAGCAATAAACATGAGGTAAGGTGGAATATAAAAGAAAGATACGTTAGATGGGCGGAAATCAACTATAAGTTGTTATAATTAAATATCTTCTTGATGGAAAATTTAAAAATTGGTTTATGTTTGGTATATGCATGGTAGAAGAATACAGGCAGTAGCATCGACACAGCTGCTGGGACAATGGACTGTCAAACCGATCTTGGAATTGAAAATCTTGAATGAAAAATTATTGAAATTTGTAAAAATTTTTGAAAAATTCATATCATTACAATCTCCGATTTGCGTCGTATAAGAAAACAAATAAAAATCTACTTATTTTTGACAAAACACATTAAAAATTTTGACATATCAATGTTCCCAAGCGTTGATGCATCTACCTATATTCTTCTACCATAGGTATATGTGTATCAATGGTACAATTCATACGATCAGAATTTTTTTTTTCATGTCCCTTCATTGTCAAATTTATATTTTGTGGTTCCTCCTTAGATATGGACGTACAACTGGCAAGAATTTGTCTTTATTTCCGACCTAAACGTCTAAACGCACGCCATTTATATACACTTTCAAGAAAGAGGTCCCATAAGTAATCTCAGACTTGATTATGGAAGGGGTACATTTTTGCTTCAAATAATAATTTTGCCGCAGCTAGGACAAGTATGAGGACCGACAATATTGTGGCTTGTTTTACTATAATACTGGTGGAAGATTGTCTCGAATTTTCAGTCGAATTGGCCATGGCAAGAAATTTTTAGCGCATGTTTTCCTTTGACAAACAGAATCTATAAATGTGAGAATACATAAAAGGCTTTTTTAACTGGCTTAAGTCATCGACTGGCTTCGTCGTAGAGGAACGAAGGAGTTTTAGGTTGACTTAGTTCGATTTTTGCCCTACGCTTCTTTATTCATTTGCGAAGAAGCCAGCCGTTGGCTAAGCCAGTCAAAACAAAAAAAAAAAACGTTTTATGTATTCTCACCTTAAAGCAGTTATTGTGAATATTCTGGGGATTTGATCTTTAAAGACTGACTTAAAAAATTAAATTAAATAAGAGATTATCCATAATATTAAGGACAGAAACTATACATTTCTACATGTAAATAAAATTCGTTTTACCATGGAAAACAGAAACTAAGAAATTATTTATTCTTGTTGTAAAATATGCCTCTTGTCATTCGTATTTATTTTAGAAGGGTTGCCATATTCGGTTTAGCAAATGAGTCATCCTCATGGTAGAAGAATACAGGTAGTCGCATCGACACAGCTGCTGGGACAATGAACTGTCAAATCGATTTTGGAATTGAAAATGTTAAATAAAACATATTATTTGCATTGTATAAGAAAACATGTGAAAATGTAATTATCTTTGACAAAACATTTTAAAATTTTACATAGCAATGTTCCCAAACGTTAATGCATCTACCTGTATTCTTCTGCCATGCATAGAACTCAAAAAATAAGAGATTTTTTATTATTTTGTAAAATATGCCACTCGTCATACGTCTGTATTTTATATATGTTTCTTGGAGAAGGGTTGCCATATTCGATTTGGCAAATAAGTCAATCTCAATTATTTTGCCTTGAATTGTGGCATTATTTGTCTTTGTTTCTACCTTCATTTTGTTCTTTTGATTGTTTGGCCTTAAAGTGTGAGTACATAAGCAGCTTGAAGTCTTCTCATGGCACATTTTGAGATATATCATAAAGGGATGCCAGATCCGCACTTGAATTCTGGAAGAATCAAATTTTGAAATAATATTCAATACCACGAAGGAAAAGACTTATTTTTTAGTCCTGGAACAGACCATTAATGATATCGAAATGCATCCTTCATTATGAGGATTTATTTTAGGTATATAAAGTGGAATTGACAACGTATACTTATAGCCGACTGGTATCGTATAAGAAAATTTATAAAAATCTACTTATTTTTGGAGAAA